TTCTGGGGACACTTTGGGCACCGTTTTGTGAGGGTTCTGGAATCCATTTTGTGAGAGCTTTGGGGGTCATTTTGTAGCGACTTTGGAGTCCATTTTTTGGAGACTTCAAGGGTCATTTTGTGAGGGTTTTGGGGTCGATTTTTTGAGGGCTTTGGTGCTGTTTTGTGAGGGCTTTGGGCACCATTTTGTGATGACTTTGGAGTCCATTTTTGTCAGGGCTTCGGACACCATTTTGTGAGGGCTTTGGAGGCACTTGGGTGCCATTTTTGTGATGGCTTTGGGATCCATTTTGTGAGGGCTTTGGACACCATTTTGTGAGGGATTTGGGTGCCATTTTGTGAGGACTTGGGGCCATCCTGAGGATGCTCTGGGAAACATTTTGGAGTCATTTTGGCGACAGGTTATTGACCATTTTGGGAACACTTTGAGGCTCTTTCTGGGACATTTTGGGAGTACATTGCAGGCCTTTTTGGAGGTCATTTTAGGAACACTTTGAATCCCATTTTGGGTACAGTTTTAGGAGCACTTTTTGGGGCGAATTTGGGGATGCTTTGGGCACCATTTTGGGGATGATTTGAGCCTCTTTTTGGGGAGGGTCTGAGACTTTTTTTAGGAATGCTTTTGGTGCCAGTTTGGTAATTATTTCAGGGACATTTTAGGTGCTTACTATGTCACTTTGAGCCTCTTTTTGGAGACCATTTTGGGATCACTTTGTGCCATTTTGGGGAACATTTTGGGTGCATTTTGGGACCATTCTGAAGGACACCCAAGCTTGTGGAGAATTCAATATTTCTGGCACACGCAGAACTGGAAAACCTGAACCTAGAAATGTGGGCCCCCAATGAGAAAAAATGAGAAAAAAGGGGCAAAAATGGGTGGAAAATGGGGAAAAAATGAGAGAAAAGGGTAAAACCCAGGGGAAAATGGGGAAAATTAGAAAAAGGGACAAAAATGAGGGGAAAAGGGAGGGAAATGGGGAAAAAAAGAAAAAAAAAGGCAAAACCCCAGCAAAACTGGAGGGAAATGGGAAAAAAAAATGGGAAAAAAAATGAGGAAAAAAATGAGGAAAAAAAATGAGGAAAAAAATGAGAAAAAAGGGCAAAAGCAGGGGGAAAATGGTAAAAAATGAGAAAAAAAAATCCTTTGTGATCCCAGAAAAACCCACTGAGCTTTTTTCACCCCTCAGCATTCCTGACAGCCCCCACGAGCCCGACCCGGAATCCTACGAGCCGCTCCCACCCAAACTCATCCCCTTGGACGAGGTAAGCTCTGGGAAAACAAAACAACCCCAAAAAAAGTTTAAAAACCCCGAAGTGCCGTTCCTGACCCCCCGTTTGTGCCCCCCCAGGACTGCTCGGGCGAGGACGGGGCCTATCCCGAGGGGCTGGATCCCGGGAATTCCGCCGCCTCCCCGGAGCCGGGCGCGGGGGCCAAGCTGCCCCCGGTCCTTGCCAACCTCATGGGCAGCGTCGGGGCGGGCAAGGGCCCCCCAGGACCCCCCCAAAACGCCCCCATCAACATGCAGGAGATCCTCAGCTCCATCATGGTAACCCCCCAAAAAACGGGCCGCCACGAAATTTGGGGAGGGTGGGGCACAAATCGTCGGGGGGGGGGGTCACCCCCGTCGTGGGAATCCCAAAATTGGGATTTGGGGTTATAAATTGGGGCTCACCCCCCATCCTTTGAACCCCAAATTTGGGGTGCTTCACAATCTGGCGGGGGGTGGGAAAGGTCATAAACTGGGGATCACCACCAAAATTGGGACATCCTCCTGATGTGCCACCCACCCCAAAATCTGTGGGGTCACACACTGGGGGGGAATAAAAGGGTGGGACCCCCATTTTCCCCTTTCCCCACTGTGTTCTTTCCCTAATTCCCCCTTTTTTCCCTCTTTTCCTGTCTTCTCCCCACCTTTTTTACCCCTTTACCCCCTTCGTCCTTTTTTCCCTAGCTGTTGCCTTTTTTCCCTGTTTTTCCATATTTTTTTCT